CTGGGGTGACCACTAAGTTTGGCTCTGCTGTCTTACCCCAGCTCTGAACTTTTCCTCAGCCCTATTGCAGAGGTCTGCCTGGGAACAGGGCGCTTGGCCAGGGCAATGCAAGGACTGGAGAGATCCGGTCCCTCTTGGAGCACAAACTGTGCTTGTGCCTGATAGTTGTGCAGCATCCTCTCCCCACCTCCCCCGGGAGGAGGCAGCCCTAGTTGAACACTTTTTCCTCTCTTGTGTTGGCTCTGTGCTCAGAATAGGAGGGTGAGAGGCTGGAAATGACGGGGCTGGCTCTAACTCTCTTGCAGGGCTATCTTGTGGAGACCCTGAACCTGGTACCAACTGATGTGCAGCAAGATGCTGAGCTGGAGAACCCCTCGCTGTTGGGCAGCCTCAGTAAGTCATGGGGAATGGGGCAGAGTTCACTTGATCCCAGTCCCAGATCCTTCAACAACAACTCATCTTTTCAACCTCTGGCAGCAGCGGACTCTGAGCTGGGCCCTCCCTAGAGTGACCCTTTGCCGGAAGTAGTGCTGGTGCTGTGGAAAATCAGTCATCAGGAGGGGAGCAACACCCTGAGAAGAGTTCTCATCCAGCAACAGCGTGCCAAGATATGATCACCTCTGCCTTTTGCTCCTTGGGGTGATACTAGGCACCCCATGGGGCAGGGACAGAGCTACATTAATAGATAATCTATCCAAGCAGTTTCTTCTGAACACTCTTCTGATTCCTGGTAGCTCAGAGGGTTTACCAGGGAGGAATTGTTCTAACACTGTATCTGTAGAATGAATGTATCTGAGATGGGACAGGAAACTCTGAGAACTTCACTATGGCTGCTGATATGGTTTGCAGCCCAGAGTGCATCTGGTGACTTGCAGGGGTGGGCTGTGGCATGGAGGGTGAAGGCAGTCGGGCCTGAGGTGCCATGTTTGATCTGGCTGGACACAGTTGGTGATGGAGGCTACTGCTCTACTTCTGCCCTGCCTAGATGGAGGTGTACAGGACAAGTCCTGTACTTCTTACCCTGTCTAATAGCTGCAAGCATCTGTCCCATATCTCTTCTCCTTAATCCTGTCCTGTTGCTTGATTTCTAGGTGTGATGTAGAGAATTGGCCTTCAGTGCCCTCACAGGGAGTGATCCTGCTTGCTGTTGTGACAGACCCAGTGTGTCACCTGTTCCTGCTTGTCTTTGAGCAATGGCCACACCTCCCAGCCCAGCCTGAGAAGGTACTGTGGGCCATGTGTGCTGTCTGCCTACTGTAACGGCTGAGGCTTTCATCTCCCTCAGGCTTCTGGGCCTCAGGGAGAAGGCATGCCTCAAGCCAGACTGCTGAGGCAGCACGGAGCAGAGAGCAGCAGATCTGCTTGCTCTTCTGAAGGCTTTCCTGGCCACAGAACAGTTTCAAAGCCACATCCTTGTGTGCCCAAGCCTTGTTGCACTGGCTGGTGATGCAGTCGTCTGATTCTGGCTGCTCCTTGGGGCTGAGCAGAAACACTTTATGCTGGTGAGCAGTGTCTTTCCTGGAGTGCATCTTAGTGGTACTTTTAGATCATCTTCTTATCTTACTTCTAGACATTTCATAGAGACATGTAGAATGGTTTTAGTCAGTAGGGACCTGTAGAGGTCATCTTGTTCACTTCTCCCTGCAATAAGCAGGAGCATCTTCAACTGTATCAAAATAATAATTAATAGCTTCCTTATTAATAAGTCTAAATAAATACTAATGGTGTGTGACTGTCATCTGTGGTTATTTTGGTGAGGGGCTGGGCTGCTGGGTGAAGGCTGGAGGCTGCGCCTGGGGCTGGGAGCCTTGTGGGAGAAACCCAAGGAAGGCTCGAGGGTGATCACTTTCACAGCCTGATGAAGAGGAGCTGCCTTCCCTTGCTGTGGCTGTGGCTGTGGCTGTGGCTGTGGCTGTGGCTGTGCAGAGGGGCTTGTTGAAGCAGGGCTGTTGCTCTGCTCTCACCCCTCTTCAAGGTGTGAAAACACTCTTGTGGAGAAAAGTGCATGTGGTGAGCACCCAGTGCCCACTGTGCACATGTGAGCCTCTGGTGCTGTGGGAGCAAGCAGCTTCCCCAGTAGGAAGCACGAGGAGCCGTGGTCGGCCCCTACAGCTCCTTTCGTAATGGGGAGCTGCACAATTGCAGGAAGTGGAGCAGGGCCAGGGTGCTGCAACAGCCCCGTCCCCTCCGGGAGGGCCCTAGCTGCTGTGAGGTGGCTAAATGTGGGCTGGGACCTGAGCCTGGTTGGGATCACCACATCCATGGGAGGCACAAACCCTGAGCTCAGGTTGCGGAGCCCAGCATGGGGTTTGGGGGCACAGGAGTCCAGCAAGACGGTGGGTGCAAGAAGCTCCACGCTTGTAGCCCACCTGGCAAGCAAAGGGCACTCATGTCGGCAAACGAGATATAAAACCGAGCATTGTGCCTATGCCTAGGAGGAGAGAGAGCCAAGGTGGGGTTTGCCCAGGGGCCCTTTCTCAGGACAGGCAGCAGCAGGCCCTCAACAGGGTCAGGTCACAACTCTGCCCTGGTCAGGACTGGCAGCCCTCAAGCGTCTCGAGAGAACCACTGGACCTTTTTCCCCACGAGCTGTGCATGGCATCAGGAAGGCCTAGGACCCCATCCTCACCTTAGTTTTGCTTTTTTGCAGTTCAAGGCCAGGGTGCTTAATGCCACTGATGTTACATGGCATCCCTGGCCCAGCTCTAACAGATACTGTATGAGTAATCCGAAGTAATACGTTGTGGTCTTGCCAGCAAAGTAAGGAAAAGCCACTGGAGCTACTGTTTGCCTTGGAGTGATGGGGTCAGGACTATCTGGCTTGCTTGGCCAAATGTTGGGAGGGGAGATAACTGGGACAGCAGGCAGGGAGCCAGGTAACATGATGACGTGTCTGTGCTGGGAGTTTTGGGATGGTTGCTCTGTAATCTCAGCCTGTATGCTCCAGATCTGCTATTTTATGTTGCTTTCTGTGTTCTGTGCTGGTCCCACAGCAGGCAGCTCTGAGCCAGTGAGAGGAAAGAAGTCTAGCATGTACCTCACACCTTGGGTTAATCGGCAGCAATGGTAATTTGGCAAGGATCCCAAATGAGTCCTTTATCCAAAGACCTTGTTACATCAAACAGAGGAGCAGGAGCCATATGGTATTCCTGCCAACCTCCTCCTCCTCCTCCTCCTTGCTGCAGATACTCCATGACATCTTTTTTCCTTGCATGGTGCGGGGATCAGAGCATAGGCTGTGTGTGCATTGGAGCTACTTGCATGCACACAAGATCTCGTGATCTGCCTTAGGTCAGCATTATGGTCCCTGCTTGCCCTCCCTGCTGTGCTCCCTCTATTATTCCTAAGGTCAACCCATACCTCACTTGTGTCCTAATAGGTACTCATGTCAGCATTATGGGAGCACACCGACAGACCAGAAACATGAGACTTTCAGGGCAAAATATTCTGCTCAGCCCTTGGCAAGTCTCATATGGTTGCTGTTGAAAGGAAACATGCTCGTTTTTATTTGCCTCCTATTGCTGAGGAACACCGGGGCTGTATTACCACTACAAAACATTTCCTGGTTATGGCTTTAAGGGCGTCAGGTTTCCCACTTTTTTTTAAATGAGTCAAGGTTTCTTGGAAATGTGGCAATTCAGTCAGTAGCAGAAGACATACCCTCCTTATCAAGGGAAATCTAAACCCTGTGTCAGTATCCAGCCTGTTTTTATCCACTAGCACCAGCTGCTGGATATTGGTGGAAACGGAAAAACTAGCAAAAAATCTGAACAACTCGTTAGAAAAGCACCTGGAAATACAGCAGTAGAGGAACTGCCTTCC